CAAGTGTTAGTCATGGATCCGCTTCTGTCTGTCAACAAAGCATATTATATGGTATTGAGAGTGGAAAAACAGAGAGAGGTTCACAATATTTTCCTTGATTCAAATGATAACATAGCTATGCTAGTTAAATCCATGGATTACAGGAGAGAAAATGGAAGTAGAGGTACCTTCAATAGGAACACAGTAAGGTATGGAGCAGGGAGAGGAAGTTATAAACGATTTGGAAATGAGAAGGAACAAAATCACTGTAATCACTGCAATATGAAAGGTCATACAAGAGATAATTGTTTTAAACTAATAGGATATCCTGATTGGTACAACATGTCAACATGATTAATACACCTTTGGATTTTGAAGATGATAAAGTTAATCAGAACAGGAAAATGGATTTGGGAGCATCCACAGATATAGCAGATCTGGTGACACAGGAAGTGCTAAGAGTGCTGAGAGATAAGAAGTCGATGGAGGTAGAAAATAAGGTGAACTTTGCACACATTACAGAATATGCAGGTATGAGTTCACATTACTCTCTTTTAGCTGTTTTAGATCGTGTGAAACCAGGAACCTGGATCATTGATACAGGAGCTAGCAATCACATCTGTTCAGACTTGAATCTAATGACACAAATTACCCATGTTTCACAACATACTCTCATTTGCTTACCTGATGGAACAAATAAGTCAGTAAAACACATTGGGAATGTTGACCTACACCCTAAACTACTTCTAACAGATACTTTATTTGTTCCTAGTTTCAAATTCAATCTGTTATCAGTGCCAAAAATCACCAAATCACAGAAACTGAAATTAACCTTTTACCCTGATTCATGTTTATTGCAGGACCTACAGAGTGAAAAAGTATTGGCAATTGGCAAGCTTGTAGGGAAGTTATACTTGTTGGATAAATCTAGTTTCATTTTCGAAGAAAATAGAAATAGAGAAAATCTGTAGCTTCATCTGAATTTCCTAAATGTACTACATCTTGTAATCAATCTTTTGATAT